ATAACATAAAAAAGCCGTTTCAGTTGCCATAAATTGATTTTATTTGATTGCAGCCTTACACACTGATTGCGTAGAAGTTTGCAACAAATTTAATTACGCTACGTGATTGATTTATATTGAGATACATCTGTGGCATATACTTAACCATAGATACAAATGAAATAATTTCCGACAATAATGCAGAGTTTTCCAAGAGTATAAATGCCATTGACGTCATAGTTTGTATTACAGACATCGTTGCAATTCTGAGACTATTGAAGATTTCAATACAATAAGCAATCTACACTAAATGAACAGCTATGAATGAGACTGCTGAATGCAATTTCAAAATAAATATCAAATCTATTAAAATTTCAATGTGTTTTTGCTGTTTTATTTGTTCTGTAGGTTCATGTCCTGCCTGTTTTGCAACTGTAAGGACATTTCTGTCGCAATTCATTTTGTATATGAAAAATATGCTCTTGTGGTGCTGTTAGAATAATTACATAAAGTGACATTTAAGTCTATTCACATAACAAAAATATATTACGACATTTTTTTAAAAAAGTATAGTGTATTTTGGAATAATAATAACTATAATAATAAATCAATAAATAATAATATTATACTCAATTAAATAAATGACTACAAAAAAATCAAAATATTTTGTGGTATTAATGGAACAAAATTTAAAAAACGTAGTTAACCTTTTTTTTAGAAACGTCTACGGCTAAAATAGTTTAACACATTCCACCTTAACAACATGTAAAGGTTATAAAGTTTTATTCTCTTTTAAATATTTAAACTTTATATATATATTTATTGATACTTAATATATAGATACATAGGCAAAATACGAGCAGTGCAATATATTCAAATTTTCATAGAACAAATTTTCAAGTTGTACTTCCACACAACACTTAGACCTCAAATAAGCCCTTGCTTCTTTGGAATTTAAAGACGAATTCGAAGTTATTCAATAACCAAACGTTAGTCCTTTACACTAGTCTTAATAATCTAATAGTTAAAGAATATCATTGTACAAACGTTAGTCCTTTACATGAGTCTTAGTACTCTAAGAGTTAAAGATTATCTTTTTTGTTAATGTTCATTTGGATTAAAATAATACACGAATTATATTTTGACACAGATGTTTTATGATTCTTAGAGATTTGTTATTCAATTGATTATTTAAGTGTATGTGACTTATAATAAGTAGATTCTCTGGGTGCTATGATATAGTTGTGTACTCTGAAACGAATATACAGGCAAACTAACCAGGAAAAGAACAACCAAACCGATGGTGAGCCCGGAACGTTTCTGTGAATTAGGACACAATATCATCCTTTCTCTTATAAAAATGGAAGAGAACCAGAACAAAAAGAATTACTGGAATGATCTATCAGAAATAAAACAAACCAAATCACTTATTGGTACCTATAACAATAGGAGATACCAGAATTGTGTGGACTTATCAAAATAAAAAGTAAGAATCATTACAGGAATCTTAACAGGGTACTGTTAACTGAAATATTAACTTACGAAGCTGACCAAACTGCAGATTCTGCGAAGAAAATGCAGAGTTGGTGAAACATGTGCTGTTAGAATGCCCTGTGCTAATGCACATATGGAATAGACAGCTGGGATGAATACCCTTACAGAAGAGATAATTAAACTCTGTAAAGTAGGTTCCATACTACTCTTCATCGAAGCAACAGGGCTTAGAGAAGGTGTCATATCGCATATTAATAATAATAATAATAAAGTTGCATCAAAATCACTAATTCATCACATAAATATACTTAATTTCAACCAAACCAATTTACTCACTAGGAACCAAAAGAAACTATGTTATGTGTGTTCTGAGTTCTTCGTTATAGATATGAGCGAAAAATATGAGGTAAGTGACGAGCTTATAGAATAGCTCTTAAATTTTGAACTCACTCTTGAATGGGTTGTAAATTGATTGGTGCAGTCGCTTTTTTTAAGCACACATTCACTAGATAATCACGAAAAACGCCTTGTCAAATAAAAGTATAAAACGTTTCAGTATAATTCGATGTCAGTAACTAGGGGAAACAGCTAAAAGAGTTAAAAGAGCTAAGACCACTGATGATAAGTACTTAGCAATACTCAAAACAACGTTGTATGGTCAGCCAAATTTCAATAAAATAACTAAAATTTTTGTTGTTGTCTTTTCATTTCTATTCGAACTCTTCCAACTTTTAAATATGTAGTTTCTTTTCGTTATAAGGCGCGTCACATTTGGCAAGAAAAAATTAATATTAAAATTGTTTTTTTTTTGTTATACTTGAATCTTTTGATTTTGTGAAAATTAATATAAATTTCATAGATTAAACATCATTGCAGGATAAAATAACTAAATTTTATCCTGCTAAATTTCAGGTGAGATAAATATATTTCCCTACAAGTAACTACACAAAGAACATAATTCCTACTTAATAAATTAGTTGTACTACAATCAATTTCAATTGTGAAAATATATTGAAAATAATCAAGGACAATCTATTCAGCTAATTACTTTCATTTTCTAAATATAACAAACTACAATCCGTCATTTTATAAATACATTTAATTATTTTACAAATAATAGTCTTAATTAAACTTTTGTATTGAAGAAGCTGTCATAAATTTAGATGAATCAATGCTTCCCACATTTTGAACTAATTATCAATGAACGTATAAATTTAAATTGCTCATGTTTTATATATTATTGCTAAGTAATGTATATAATAATAGACAAAATGTTTTATATAAATATAGCTACTAATAAAGTAATACGAAACTCTGGCTGCAAAATAAAATATTCAGTTTTACTAACTTATCTCATCAAGGATACACAATTTGATGACGAAAATGATGACGACATTTGCCACAAGTATACTTTGAAAGGCTAAATATATGTTCAACGTATCTTGTGCTGGAAAAATATTAATATGGAAATAAAATGTTGAATATGAAATTGTGTATTAATATATTGAAAAAAAAATATAATCAGTTTATAAAATTACCGAAGCACAACATTTTTGTAGAAAATTTGATGTACACCATTACGTCAAATTTCACATAAAGAAAAAAATATATAGTTTTATTATTAATTTTTCATTCAAAGAAAGCATAAAAAATTATCTGTTTGAGTTGATATACACTTATTCACAAACAGTTATAGATCTATCAATACCAGGTTGAAGCCTGCCTAACTCCTGTTAATAGAAACCAAATTGCTATTAGGGCAGTATGTATACTATCAGAGAGTCAACCTGCTGCACAGATCTTTAGTCCAATTCACATATGAAATGATTTTTGATAGCAATGCAGCAACGATATGAATGACTTGTCTAGACGGAGTTCTTCAGGTACTCATTTTAAATATCCACAACATCTGGTCACACACTTATGCCAAGCTAACATTGGCGTTTGAAATCTTGAAGATTTGTTGAAATCTTCCTATATTGAGCAATTTAATACAATATGGAAAGATTCAACAATATGTAAGTTAGCCATGTTTTATTCAAAACAAAAAAAATATAGCAATCCTATTAATATGCCCCACAAAAATATCAGTCTTGTGATAGGTATGTTGACGGGGCACAACCGTTAATGAAACACCTCAGAATATGGTTTCCTACCTTTTTTCGACCAAGAACCACTATGATACATTTGTTTTTAGTAGGGACCACAAAGTTAAACAATAATAAACATAATAGAATATTTTAATATACTTTATGCATCACTGGTATAATGCATAAAAAATTGTATAAGTGCATAGGTACATTATATAGGCTATAATATAGGTATATAATTATTTGTTAATTTTTTGTGCTTATGATCTAACAAATAAGATTTTAGTGGATAAACTGAATGCTATGTATCCATACCTGTTAAATTTCCTCCGCGGACCACAGGTAGAGCATGCACAACTTTACTATTTAAAGAATCTTAGCCAGCTAGCAGATTATAATTTCAAACATTTGGATTTAACAGTAGCATAATCGGGCATTGGTTCTGTAGTCTTAGGATCGCCAGTGTAACAACCCAACCATGTACCATGTACGATAACAATATTCTGCAAAAATAATATTAAAAGTCGAACAAAAACAATTATAATATTTAATTACATATATATATAGCTGTAGTTTATGTGTTAATTATTTAATTATTATTACCATATAACGCATTGTAAGACCATCGATTGTTCTTGTTATGGTTTGGAACATCTTAATGAAGAATTTACAAAAAATGAATACGAAAGTAATGGTCAACTGTAGTAATTATTAACCAACTTTACATGAAGGTTCCATTGTTTCAACTTTAGAACCCAATTCGCCTTAACCATATTAATTCCTTATATTGATTATAATAAAGTGAAGAAATGGAATAACAAAGCAATATAAAGAACTAATAATTATATGTTATGGAGTATGTGGACAATAAATCAAGCTAGTTGCAGTGCCGAACAGCCTTAGCCTAACCCATAAACCATTACATTAAATGTTTTGGAGTAGTTAGTCAATTTTTTTCATTTGTTATAATTGATAAAAAGGCTGAAGTGAAAAAAAATAAAGGCTTATGAATTATATTAGCAAATTTATTAATGTCTTGCAGGGTTGAAAATACTTTACTTCAATTAATTCATTCTTATATAGTTTAACCCACACTCATATATAGAAGCATATATTTTACAAAATAAAATGTATTTACCCCTCAGTTTTGTATTTAAAAAATATTACGTTAATTTCTCACCAAAAATTCCACCTTCCCTTCAAACAATGTCATTAAATAACGCCTGTCTAGGGAAAAAAAATTTATTTTTTACCATAGCAACTTGTTAATTTTTAAAATAAATTTCCTCGTTTCCATGTCAATAATTTTAGTTTTAAATTAAATATTAAACTCAAGTTTTTAGTTCAATAAAAATAACCAGCGAGTCAACAACAAAAATTTCAAATTAATATTGGATACTTAATTTTTGATTTATTGTCTGCAAATAAATTTCAAAGATGCCTTGCTACACCAGCACTAAAGTGCGCTTTGATAACCCGCGTAGCGATACCGATATTGGTAAGAATCGCCTTAGTACAGCAGGAAAAACCGAGACAACACCATGTATCAATGTACGCCTAACGCCAAGTCAGGAGGCACTACCAAGACAAAGCGAAAAAATAACGCGGGCAAGGACTTGTTATCTGTACAATCAAAGAGGAAAGAAGTTGAAATATCCCATTGATCCGACCAAAGAAGCTACATTACGCAAAGAAGACATTGAACGTATCAAAGCCAATGCAAAGATAATAACTATGGAAGAAAGAGCTGCTATTGTAGAGCTGCAAGAAAAAGAAGCACAACGTCTGAATGATATGGCAGATGAGTTAAGGCTTCGCTACAAAAGAATTGATGATGAGCGTAGAAATATGAGAGATGCTCTCGACGGTCGAGATAAATTCAGTGATACTGCACAAAAGCTTAATGTATTGGAGCGCAGCTTTGTAGAAAAACATGAACAGGAAGAAGAGGTTCAACTTGCAAATCGTGTCATCATAAACTTAAAGTGTCAGGCGGTACGTGATGAACAGATTTTGGAAAAAAAAGAAATTGAACGTCTTGCAAAGCAAGCAGACGCACATATGGTTCAAATTCAAATGAATATTGCAGCGAAATCGCTAGCTGAAGAGGACAAAAAAGAGGAAGAGAAACGGCTTAATAGAATTTTGTATGCCGCAGACATACGACAGCAATTAAATGAGCGTGAACGTATACGTTTACTTGAAGGACAACGTATAGAGAAAGAAGCACTCAAAATGCGTGAAGCTATGGAAGAACTAAAAAGGGACGAGGAGCTTCAAGCAAAATTAATATTAGAACGTAAACTTCAATTTCGTCGTGAACTAGATAAAGTAGCTGAAATGTCTATGGTTTTTAAAAAGATGTTGTGTGAACAAGACCTTGATGCTGATATGCGAGTGTTGGCTTTTAAACGTGAGCAGGAAATTCGACAACGTAAATTTGACGAAGAGAAGAGAATTGCTAAAAAAGAATTCGATCGTAAGCAAGATAAATTATTTGTGTTGGGTCAGAAGGCTTTGGAGTCCAGATCTCGTCGTGATGAAATGAGTTACATGCGAGAACAAGAAAGACTTGAAAGTGAATATAGGCGCAAGGAAATGGAGGCGGCATTGCGCAAGAAGAGGGTCGAAAAAGAATTATGTGATGCACGCAAACAACAATTATTGGATTCCAAGAATCGTCATGCTTTGTATATCGCACATGCTGAACAAGAATTTAATGATCTTATTGTAAGCATAAAATCTGAAGAGGAGGAACAGAAGAAAATGGATGCACTGCACAAGAAACTGCGCGAGAACTATCGCAACGATATAATACGCCAAATCAATGACAAAGAAGCGGAACGTCGTCGCTTATTAGATCTCGAGAAGAATCAAGTCTCTACTTGGCGTAAGGATGAACGCAAACGTGAACAAAATATACGCACTATTATTAATGCTAAGTTAGCTGCTATGAAAGATGCCAAATTACCGGAGAAATATATTACCGAAGTTCAACAGCGTATTACGAAAATTTTTGCAAAATACAATAATTAAATTAATTTTTTAATCATTTCAAATTTTAATTTTATTTTTGAATAATTTAACAAAAATGTATGCGCAATGCATGTATCGAATTTCTTAAAATAACAATATGAAATACTTTTTTATTGAATTATTATAAAAATAAAATATTTTATAATAGTGCAATAATAAAGTATCTCAAATTGGAATTGCTAAAAATTATGAGAAATTTATATTTTGCTATTAAATGATTTAACTTTTCAGAATAAATCTGTTGTGCACCAAAAAGACTTGTTTTAATAATGAAAATATTGAAAATATATAGTAGTATTTGAAATATGTATTTTTTAAACATTACAGTCAAGACATCAATAAATGGATAATACTTAAAATATAAATACTTAAAGCAATAAAAAATTGATTTAAAGCTACACCTAAAATCTTTTATAAAAGAAACTCATTCTATTTTGTAAGAAATACTTTTTTGATCATTATATCTTTCTAGAGGCCACTATTTTTTTCATTAAAAACTATCTGATGCTATGGTTATTATGTGGTGGATCACAGAGCTTCAAAGCAGTTTATAGTTATTTTATGGTCAATTTAGTAGAGACGTATGTGAAGTATTTCAACTATATTAAAATAATCGTGTGATTAAAGCAATAAACTAAAGCATTTTCATTAAGATACTGTATATATTATATTTAGACTTTAAATGACTACTACATGCGTATGCTTACCTATTACCACTGTTTTCTGTTTATATAGTTTCCAATACATCGTGTCCTTTATTTCTTGCTATTATTAGGTGTGTGGGTCATTCGATCACAATATGGAACGGATTTTCAATAAAATTGACTTTATCACCCCCAATTTTATCTAAAATTTTTTTTTATAAGTTCGCTTAAAAAACGGTTTGTCACTCCCGATGGAAAATTTCCAATATATTTTTGTATGGACTATTTGGTAGCACAATTTTCTACAGATAATTTCATTTATTTCTGTTTTGAATTCATTATTAATTTTTATGTAAAAATCCAAACTTTCAGATTTGTATTATTTTTAAAATTTTATTTTTAATGAAATTAGTTAGTCTAATACACATCATGTCGAATGCAAGCAATTAATAATTCAATTCGTTTTAATTTTTGGTTTAAAACACGTATATAAAAGATAACGAAAATAGAATTTTATTGGAAGCCAATTTTTTTGGTTAAGGAATTTGAGCAACTTCAAGCAATATATGAAATCGTTTATATTCTAATATTTATTACACTATACATACATACATATTAATAGTCGTATGTTTAGTCTAACATATTGCTTATAACTATATTTATAGTACGCTCGACGTAAGTCATTCTGTAATTGCTGTATTCCCACAGAAGTGTAATTTCAATTTTTTTTCCTAAACTATGAAATTATTTTATCTCGCTATAACTTTCAAGTTAACAGCATCAATTTACATGAAAGTCCGACTCTCACTTTCTCACTTTTTTCTATAAACTCTCAACTATAATCGTATGCCATTCCTTTATGGCCTATGACATACGATAGAATATGTTGCATTAAATTCACTCTTTTTCAAGGGTCACTTCTAGGGCGTACGACATACGATAAAAAATATTGTTATTAGTTCCGATTCCAAAATGGGAGTATATAAAGATACTGTTTGAACTATTTAACTATTTAAAACAGCAAGCTTGACTCTAATCTATGGTATCCAAACATATCTATTCGTAACGCATAAGAAACTGAGTCTTTTGCGAGACACTCTGCTACCAGTATTTATGTTATTCTATAATATAATATACCTAAACCAAAAATAAAGACAAAGATTAAATAATTAATAATAATATTATAATACATTATTATATTATTATTACTTATTTATTTTTTTTTATTAAAAAGTACCATATAGTACCATACATTAAACATCTATAAATCCATTTTTTAATCAAATTCAGTAAATAACAATAATTACTATTATATTGTTTTCAATATATATTTTTGACATTAATCAGCATTTGGTACTAAAATTTTTCTTTATAATTTTTATCTTTCTAAAATTTCATTAAAATTATTTATTAATAATGACGTCATGTGTCTACCCATCAAACTTCTGGATATGAACCTGATTAATATACACAAGGGAAAGAATAAAATAACAAGGATGATACAAAGTTTAGCAAACATAACTAAAAAAGTGCTGAATTTTCTGTGCCAGAGGAAAGAGAGAAAAATATATTAACACAACAAATATATATCACTACCCTTTCTATCCCTTTTTTATAAACTTCAATGGCGTTCAATATTAAAGTTAACCGAGCCACTATCTGAAGTAATATACACACAAGGGCACAAGCCCATTTTGGTATGCTTACATGCATGTTTGAAATAACAACTTCTAACCGGTCCGTCATATATTCGACTAATTTTTCACAATGACGTCATTGCTGTTTAGTGTTGCTCTTGCTATTGTTGTTGGTGTTGGTGTTGGTGTTAGTGTTGTTGGGTTTTTCACTTGGTATTTAGGTCATGGCTTGAAATTGTTGACCTTAAATTACTTACGCCATTTTACAAAGCATTGTTGCCAATATAACAAATTCCGTAAATGCAGCATTTAAATGTGTTTTCACATAAAACAAGGTACGCTATTTTAAGCTGTTTAACATCAGAAGTGCTTACAATCGACCGTGTCCCTATATAACCGTAAACAGCGTATTTTTGTATCTGAAGAAAGCTTACCCGTGCGGCTTTACTGCCGGTTATCGCCTTATAAAGCTAATTTTGGCTTATTCTACACCAAGCAAAGCCCTTGAGCCTTAGCTCCACCCTAAAAGTGCTGCGTGTGATTTTTCCATTTTCTCGGCGTGAATGTACATTGCCGTTGCTGTTGCCGTTGCTGTTATTGTTGTTGTTATTTACATACTTCAGCTGCAGTAGATTTTCATTCAGTTTCATATCAATAATAAAATACTAACGTCATAAAATCGGTTTGTTTGCAGATATTCGGATTTCTTTATGGCTTTATCAGAGCATATGTATCTTTTTAGAATTGAAAGATAAATTGTGCATTTGTTGCTTGCTAATACTGCATACTGCAATAAATGGCAAAAATACTGCAATAGCATTTTGTAGAGCCATTGAAAGTTTAATTGTTAATAAAGCAGCAATTCTGTCACAATTTTATTGCATCACAGTTTGCTGCAATGAACCTTCAACTCGAGGTAAACTATGGCATATCTGAGCTATGACGCTGATTTGGCTGAGGACAAAATATAAATTTTTTTTACTTTATTTTTTAATAAGAATTATTTTTACTGGTTTTACATGAAGGATTGTTAATACATAAAGCTTTCTTGAAATATTTTAAGCTATTTTATTCATACTTTAATCTTGTCAAATGGTATATGGTAATGTAAACATCTCTAAAATTATGAAATTGTAAACGATATGAAAAATAATTATATGATACAGCAATAACAATAAAACTCTTAAATATTTGAGATAACACCAATGCAGAGAAATTTTATTTTAGGATATATTTTAGAAAAATCAAATGTTCTTTTACAAAAATCATAGTATTCTAGATAAGATTCGGCTTTATTTTCAATATAAACTACTTCAACTTTCCTACTACTTTATATACAATCACTTTAACGCTTCTTAAAGGTTCTTACATATTTTTTATTGAACGATTTATTGAAACCTTCAAACTATATGTTTGTTTCGGCATTTGCTTCTTTATTCCATTTTTTCTAACAACAAATTCCAAAATGACCTATTGGAGAAGGAATACTAAGCTAACCTGAACAATTTAAGGCAGTTAATAAACCCATGCTGAGTGTCCCAGCAAAAATTCGAACATATAATTTTTGTGTGTATATATTTCCTAAAATGAATTAATAATTTTTTTAAATAAAAACCTATGTCATATTTTGTTACCCATTATTTTTTGCATTCAAGTTTGATCTATCGGTGAACCAAAACGCATGCATAAGAAATTATATATAATTTCATACTTTCGTTCGTTTTTTACCTTTATGTAGAATATCTGGGAAGTATAAAACTTTCCAAAAAATGAGCTGTAAGTTCTACATATATATTAGAATATCAGTCGGAAAACGCTTTTGATTCCTCAACACTCTATGGGGATGTGTAGAGGAGGTAATTACAGTACCAACTTTATAACAATTGAATTACATACACAATGCTTTAACATGTTAGTTTCTGCACTTTAATCAACATTTTTTAGACTTTTATTTGATTGATTTTTCTTCAACAGGAGTTTACTCCATAAGAGACAATAGGCTCCGAACTTAAGTGATTGATTTTTAAGCACTTACTGCATGATTGTTTGTCCCCTTCTGTTAATTCTACAATTAAAAAAAAGCTTTGAAGACCTATATGACACGATTTTGGATTTGAAAAGCTCTATGTGTTTGAAAGTTTCTTTCGCATGTTGTACTCTAATATATATTACTGAAGATATATCATCTTTTGAATAACATTCCCAGTTTTATACTTTTTAAAATACCTTAAATTTAT